AAAATTATTATAGGGTTGAAGGTAATGATAGGCAGTATTTGCGATTTGAGTTGCTGAACGTTTGAAGGCTGCTTGGCACTTATTCCGACGCTAGAAGACTTTTGTTCGGATGGGTTTGCCGCTTGTTCTGCAAAGGCTTATCGCACTCATTGTCATCTCTTGCCAAAGCAAACGAACTCATCATCTGCCCACACGGCACAAGTGTGAGAACCGCCCGTTGAAACTGCCAAAACTTGTCAGGAATCTGCCGGCACACCACACTGCCCGTTTTCGTTCAATCCAAAGCAGACGAGCTGACCATCTGCCCGCACTGCACAGGTATGATAAGAGCCCGCTGAGACTGCCACAACTGGTCCCAAATCTGCCGGCACGTCACACGGCCCATCTTCGTTCCTTCCAAAGCAGACGAGCTGACCATCTGTCCGCACTGCACAGGTATGAAAGTAGCCCGCTGAGAAATCTACTGGCACACCCCACTGCCCATCAACGTCCCTTCCATTTCTCACTCCAAAGCAGACGAGCTGACCATCTGCCCGCGCTACGCAGGTAGAAGCAAAGCCCGCTGAGACTGCCAAAACTGGTCCCAAATCTGCCGGCACGTCACACTGCCCAGCTGAGTTCAATCCAAAGCAGACGAGCTGACCATCTGAGCGCACTGCACAGGTATGACCACTGCCCGCTGAGACTGCCAAAACTGGTCCCAAATCTGCTGACAACTCACACCGCGGCTCAAAGCTGAGCGCACTGCATCCTAACAGGCCATTCTTCCTCACTACACGCTTGCTGAGTGCGGAAGTCCCTGTCCATCTATGCATATGTTGGGACGAGCCCTGGAGTTGAAGCCGTGGCCGCGCGAAACGTGACTGAACCAGCGCCTGAACACACCAGGAGCCAGGACGTACTGTAAGAAACGCCTGCAATGCCAGCGTGGGCAGCCAGGAGAATATGGCAAGTGCCAGGCCAGCCTTTATGATCGTCAAGAAATTCATGCCGAAATGTTCTACAGAGGGGCCACCTCAAAGACTAAAGTCTAGACAAGCAGTTCTCTACGATGCTATTGAGAGAAGCTGAAACATTCCCACGAGCGTGATGCAATTACCCTTTAGTGGTTGCAGATTATATATAACTTCATTGTTGTTATAACCTTCTTCCTAAATCTTATTCCCATTATAGTCATTTTATTAGAGATGGCCATTTCCATTTTCGCGGGTTAGGGGTCTAGGGTTGGGAATATGGGTTTTTTCTATGTGGGTTTTTCCTATGGGTCTTCTGGTGGTTCCATGCTAGGGGTATTCCTGTAGGTCCTTTGGTGAGGTTGGGGCGAGGTATAGGTTGTTATGGTTTTGGGTCTTCAGGTGAGTTTATTCCTAGGGTTCTACCTATGGATCTTGGAT